TTATATTTTCTTAGAAAAATACCCATTCCACGAAGATTTACAAATATATTAGAAGAGAATCATATGAGAATTGATTTCTCCAGTATACAGCTATATCCTTACTTATTGCTAATTTTTAGGAGCTGTCTTTTCTTTTTGTTTTTCTTATTTAGACTTATCATAGATTCATTCCACCATTTTGTTCTTATTTTTGCAAAGAATTTCTTACTGTTTTCTAACTTTATTTATGCTTTAATTTTTATACCTTCATTTTCCTTGTTTTCTGTTTATTTTGATGTAAAATTTTTAATTTCAGTTGCGTGTTTATTTTCATTTTTCCCAATTTAATAATGAAAGATTTAAAAGCGAAAAAGTTGCCTCTATTTTAAATAAAGCTTTGTCCATACTTATTAAATTTTATATGGACTATTCTCATTGCTATTATCTAAAAAGTCTGTGGTAGTAATTTTAAATTTATTTGTTGTTGGTCCATTAGCTGTTTCTGCAGTTTATTTGGTTTTTTCCTCTTTTAATTTTCAATCCGTTACGGTTTTGTTTATTTAACCTCTGTTATTATTTTCAGGTTTTCTTTTTCTGCTTGGGTAAGGTAATATGCTCTATAAATTCCTGCATTTTGGAATTTGTTGACTGTTTGTGAGGGAGAAAGACTTCTCATGGGCAGTTGAATAGTGGTGTTTTGTAATGATTTTCAATTTAAAATACAGTGAAATTCTTTCTTTATTGATGATATATAGATCCATTATGTACAATCAAAGAAGTTCTTCTGGTTGAAGAAGGTGTGGGGGAGAATGGAGGCTAGAATGCCACCAAACCTCTCCTCACCTTCCCTAAGGAGCACCATGGAATCCCTGGAGCTACCTGGATAAGATTTTTAAACCGCTAATCATTTATAAAGTGTTTTATATGCATCTATTAGATAAACTTAAAATTTTATTAGTAAAACTTTTTCCGCCAAGTCAATATGCTAAATACTGAGAATGGTGTGTTCCAGTCTCTACAACAAATGCATTTCTCTGACCTCTCTCCGAACTACTGGAAGCTTTGGCTTGGTATATTTCAATTCTCTGGAATTTGATGATTAACATATTGTATTTACTATCTTCAACATGGGCAGCATCTTTTAGTAACATAAAACTACTGGCTTTGTTCCTTTTTTAAGCTTTTCCCTTTGAATTCTCTTCTCTCTGAACTAATACTGCTACCACCAGCATTTGAGCTTGTCTGATATACCTCTGAATGTTCTTTTAATTTCACAGTTAAAAACATCCTGTAAAATTGTATTTCTATTCTTATACGATGAACACACATATGGGCATAGTATATGTATGTATGTAAACGTAATGCATATTTCTACATATCATGTATGTATATATGTATATAAACAATATCTTTATAGTATATAAATTCTTTATTTCCTAATCCCATCTATATTTAAACTTTAAACCATTTTATGGATTTCATCTTTTTAACTCAATCTTTTCAATTTTTTTTCGTATCTGTAGACATCTATCTTACTAGGATTAGCTTTTTTCTTTTATGATAAATCTTATCTAAGATATTATTCTGAAACTCTTAGTCTTATTAAAGGCATTTTATGTTACTTTCCTTTACAATTAAAAAAAGTCATGATAGGTAGAAAAGGGGAATAGTAGAAAGAACACACTTCAAAACTAGGAGAAGATGGAGAACTTCTACGGCCCCCTACCTCTGTGGCTTCTTCAATGAGTTTTCCAGACTACTTAGCTCCAAAAACTGTAACACTGGGATTCAAAACCCTCAGGGATCATAACCTCACTACACTTGGGGCGTAACTGAATGGTATATCTGATTTCTCTGATCATTACTTTGTGAGAAACTTTCTGTTTTAAAGTCTATGGCCAGTCACTTCAGGGTAAATTCAGATGGCCACCTAGGACCTTATCCAATTTAAAGCCAATTAAAAAAAATTTTAAGCTGCTTTAAATATTATGTATTCCATTCTGCCTTCTCTCTAGATTCCAGTATTAGGCCTCTGACCTAAAAACACAAGATAAACAGTCACTGGAGATTTTCAGCACCTCAATCTTTTTAAAGGCTGCTCTCTCTAGTGAGCTCTAATCTTTGTTCTCTTGTTTACTTTCACCAGTTTGAAGATTAGTCAGAAGGTAGAGTTCAGCCAATGTTTTAAGCATTCATTGGTTACATCCCCTTCACAAACCTAGTCACTTATTAGACCAGATATTTCACTTGATCCATGATAAACTTGAGCTACTCAGGTTCCTCCTCAGTACAGCAGCTGTGTCTTAGGCAAGGCTCTTTTGTGAGTGACCACAGCTCCTCTGTTAAGAAAATCCAAAACTATTCGCAGCTTTTAGTGACCCTTTCTTGGCCTTTGGTTGACACAGTCACATTGAGATGATTAGATCTCAAAAAATTAGAACGTAAGAAACAGGATCAACAGTAAAACACACCTGTGTCATTCTGGGGTAGGGGTAGGAGGGGATGAGGTGGAAGGGAATTATATTTTTAGGTATTAGTATAATTACCATTTCCCTGCTTCTCTTTCCCAGTCCCCTAAATACACTAAAGCAATTTTGAATATTATTTAATAATTTAGAAGGATCTTCAGAGATCATGGATCATAGATCTCTAAAATACATATATCCAAGTGTTAAAACTTTGGGGCTGGGGAAAAATAAATAGGTTAAGAGTTAGTTTACAGACATGACGATGAACTAGCAAGTAGAAATGGATGTAAAAATTCAGAAATTTTTTATATTTCAAGTCATATAATACTTAATAGTAACGAAGTAAATTATGAGTGAAACACAAAGCCAGGCACACATAGAAATCAGCTGAAAACAACAGGGAAGAACTCAGTTTTTTGTATGCTTGCTTAATGTTTTGAGAAAAAGCTAGGGTCCCAAGTCAGTTTTTATGTTTGTAAAAATTTTTCTCTTCTAAATTACATTTAAATGAAAAAAGAAAGAAAGAAAGAAAAACAATAATAAGCTTTGTTGGTAGGTCTATAGCATTTTCATACATTTTAGGGAGAAGGTAGTAAACAAAGTTCCTGCAGCCGTAAGTGATGCTTAGAGGAAAATTAAATCACCGAGTGATGCCAGGACTGATTATTCTACTGCACTTTAAAGCAAGAGATTGCAGTCTGTCGGTCCAAAGTGGTTTCATATGGACTGCCACAGTTGTGGTTTATGCTTGAAACTATAACCTGTCAAATTAGAAGCAGGCAAGGCCTATGCTAGTAACGGTTCCACTTTCTACTGTCTACAGTTATGTCTACAAGTTCAGCACTTTTTATTCAGTTAAACTCTATTATTTGGATGAGTAGAATATCAAAACTACTCTTTGTTATCTTGGTTAGAGAAGATTTTATTTACGGTATAAAGCTTAGAGAAACTGCCAATCTAATTTTTTGTACAGATGAAGCTGATTTTCATTGTAACTATTTTTTATCAATTATTGATATTTTATTATCCTATTTACTACTATGTAATATAAGATATAACTACAGGGAAGAGGTATATAAACAGCATATGTTCCCAACCTTTTTCCAGCCTGCATTTCCAGATATCTTATTGACGTTAACTTGTACCTTTCTGACTCATCATTTTTCCAGGCCTACAGTAGCCTGCTATTGTGAGTTTAGTGTTACAACATGCTCCATTTCTTCTCTTCTCCTTGATTGTGGAATGTCTTTCTGGGCAATGGGCTTGGTTGACAGAGATTTTCCCATCAAAATTGAAAAGCTACTTGTTCCATTTTACTTATGTTTTATGTAGAGTCCTTCCTTAATGACTCTTTCTTAATGCCCATTTGTGTAATATAAAAATGTTTTTAAAATAAAGCGTAAACAATATCTGCTCTCTGTGTAATGCATCATAAGTGAAACCATGCCACTAAACAATCATATCCTGTTTAGGCCATAATGACATCAGAAATATATGTTTATCATCTGCTTTGGACAACTTAGCATGTTTCTGGCCCGAGGCAAAGTTGAACTAAAACCATTTGCAGTTGCCCCAAACCAAGATAACCACACATTTCTAAGGTAATTGATACCTAAGAAGAATATTGCCTTTAGATCATAGTTCATGATCTAAGCACAGTAATTCTTTAAAGAAGGTTGTTAAAGTTTATAAAGCATGTATGTCTATTGGACTTCCACCAAAATTTAACATAAAATAATTGTACTTTTAGCATGCATAGAGACTATGATAAAGTAGGCACTTAGCACGATCTTTTAGAATTCTGGAATTACCTCTCTTGCCCAATTTAAAGAGAAGAGAAAAATGATTTTTTTACATGTAAAGTACAATAAGAAGATGAATGACAAGAATAATGCCTTTTATTTTGGAAGGCACTCAAATGAAATCAATCATTACTTTTATTTTTCCAGAAGTATTTAAGGAAACACTTTTATGAATAGATAGCTAAGGTAAATAGAAGGTATACAATTTTCATATTCATTGTTAAAACATATCCAGGGAATCCAAACACATGTCACTAACTTTGTGTTAGAGTGATATAAAGCATGTAATTGCCCTGGATACTACCTTAGCTAGTGAGTCCAACCATAGCCTACAACTAGAGTCTGAAAAACAGCTCTTCATGCTATATGCCAAAACAAAAGCAGCAGGAATTACCTTTGCCCACAAAGACAACTGAATGGTTTGGAGAAAAAATAAGTAAATATTTATTTATAAATTAGCTTTTACAGAATAAAATAGTATCAGTAAAAGTAAGATACAGAAGGAAGCTTGGGGAAATATTCAAAGGAGGGAACAGTGAAACAGAAAACTGAAATCATCTGCCAAAGTCAATGCTGAAGGCAGAGTTTGACACCCTCTCCAAGACTACTCCACTGAACAATGCTGCCTTCAGACGTGAAATCACCGATTTGGGAATTTCAGACAACATTTAAAGAACATAAGAATAGAATCGAATAGCACTGGCATTGCAATGGTTATTCTACTAGATAAAAAGAGAAGGATGTACTATACCTCCATTCTTTCTTGTTTAACTTCATCAATTTCATCATCTTCAAACATTGCCAAGAGTTCTCCTGTTTGGTCAATAGAGTTGAGAAAGTCTTGAGTAGTTTTTTGTCTTTTGCTCGCATTATTGCTGCCAATCAATTTGTCTTCATGAAGATAAGGGAAGGAAAAAAAAAGAAACATGCTTAATCAGTTTATATCAGCACCAATCATTACATGAATTAAATACTGCATATGAAATTCAGAATTGGAATTCTCTGAAAATAATCTTTACAATGAGAATCCTTGCATCCAAAACAAAAGTGTAAGTCATGCAGAATTAAATCATTTATTCATGTTACAAATAAGATTGAGAGAATAAAACCAAATTATCAATTACCAAATAAGAGTGAATGAACTGATTGAAATTCCTGACCAAAAAAAGGAAGAGTCCTCAGATTTGGAAAAAGAATACTGCTATGGCAAGCCTAATTAAGAAAATAAATAAAAACAAAGACATAAATAAATAACATCAGGATTGAGACATGGAATTAATAGAAGAGAATATTATGTACATTACTGTGGCAATACATTTGAAACCTAAAGGGATAAGATCTTACTCTTTTTCTCTTAAGAAATAAAACTATCATAGTTATTTACAAGTAAAATATAACTCTGAGAAAATTATTGCAAAAAGTCAGGAAAGAATGTAATATTACAATAGGTAATTAAAACAGTTTAATGCATAAGACTATCAGTGTGAATTAGTGAGTGAGGAAGAACTAGATTATTGTCTTTTTGTTCTGCTTTTTTCTGAGGAAGATTCACCCTGAGCTAACATCCATTGCCAATCTTCCTCTTTTTGTATGTGAGCCGCCACCACAGCGTGGCCACTAACAGACGAGTGGTGTAGGTCTGCACCCAGGAACGAAACCTGGGCTGCTGAAGCAGAGTGCACCAAACTTAACCACTAGGCCACCAGGGCTGGCCCCTAGATTCTTTTTTAATGTGATAAATTACATGCTTATATACAAAATAAAAACAACCCAAACATCTGAGGATGAAAGCATACAATCTTTCACCATTAAGTATGATGTTAGCTGTGGGTTTTCCATAGATGGCTGTCTTGGTCAGTTTGGGTTGCTATAATAAATATACCATACACTGGATGGGTTAAAAAACAAGTATTTATTTCTCATAGTTCTGGAGGCTGGGAAGTCCAAGATCAGGTGCTGGCAGATCTGGTGTCTGGTGAGAGCCTACTTCCTGGTTTGCAGATGGCCATCTTCTCGTATCCTCACATGGTGGAGAGCAGAGATCGAAAGCAAGCTCTCTTATGTCTCTTCTTAGGCGGGCACTAATCCCATTCATGAAGGCTCCTCCCTCATGAGTTACTTACTTTACAAAGGCTCTATCTCAAAATACCATCACACTGGGGATTAGGCTTCAACAAAGAATTTTAGGGGCCGGTTGCCTAGTGGTTAAGTTCGCGTGCTCCGCTTTGGCAGCCCAGGGTTAGCAGGTTTGGATCCTGGGTGTGGACCTACACACCACTCATCAAGCCATGCTGTGGCAGTGTCCCATGTGTAAAACAGAGAAAGATCGGCACAGATGTTAGCTCAGTGACAATCTTCCTCAAGCAAAAAAGAGGAAGATTGGCAACGGATGTTAGCTCAGGGCCAATCTTCCTGACCAAAAAAAAAGAATTTTAGGAGAACACAAACATTCAGTTCACAGCAATGACCTTTATCAGACCAGGAAAGTCCCCTTCTCTTCCTAATTTGTTGAGTGTTCCTCTCCTCAAAGACTTGGATTTTTTTCAAATGATTTTTCTACATTTAGTGAGATGATCATGTGTCTTTTGTCTTCTATTCTATTAATATGATGTATTACACAAATGGTTTTCTAAGTTTAAATCAATTTTCCATTCCTGTGATACATCCCATTTAGTCATGGTATATAATCCTTTTTAGATGTTGCTGGGTTTGGTTTAGTAGTATTCTGTTGAAAATTTTTACATCTATATTCAAAAAGACACTAGTCTGTAGTTGTCTTTCCTTGTGATGTCTTTGTTTGGTGTTCATATTGGGGTAATACAGATCTTGCAGAATGAGTTGGGAAAGAATTCGTAGATCTTTAAATATTTGGTAAAATTCATCAGTGAAGTCACCTGGGCCTGGGTTTTTCTTTGTGAAAAGCTTTAAAATTACTAATTCAAACTCTTTACTTGCTATAGGTCTACTCAGATTTTCTATTTCTCCTTAATTCAGTTTCAGTAGTTTATCTCTTTACCCGAGAGAAAGTAAATATTTAAAGAACTGGTTACATTAACCATCTTATTTACCATTTCTATTTCTTTTTGTAATCTCAGCTACAATCTTGTATCACTCCTTACTCCAATACAGCTTTGTTACCACTCATCTCACTTACGCTGTTACTGTCAAATATATTACATAACTATATGTTATAGACCTACCATTACAATTATATATATTGTTTTATATGATTGCTTCTTTTTTTTTCTTTTTTTTGGTGAGGGAGAATAGCCCTGAGCTAACATCTGTTGCAAATCTGCTCTTTTTGCTGAGGAAGACTGGCCCTGGGCAAACATTCGTGCCCACCTTCCTCTACTTTATATGTGGGACGCATGCCACAGCATGGCTTGATAAGCGGTGTACAGGTCCATGCCCGGGATCCAAACCTGCGAACCCCGGGCCGCTAAAGCAGAGCATGCAAACTTAACCATTACGTCACCGGGCTGGCCATACAACTGCTTTTTAAATCAGTTAAAAGAAGAAAGGAAAAGAAATATGCAATTATATTGCTTCTTAAATTTATTGACGTAATTAGCTTTACAGGTGCTCTTTGCTTTTTTTGTGTGGGTGTGGATTCAAATTATTTTCTGGTGCACCTTGCTTTCAGCCTGAAGAAAGTCCTTTAGTATTTTTTATATTGGTCACTAGCAAGAAATTCCCCCAGTTTTTGTTTATTTGAGAATATATTTATTTTGCCTTATTTTTAAAAGATAGTTTAGCTGGATATGTTTCTTGGTTAACTATATTTTCTTTCAGCACATTGAATATGTCATCTCACTGCTATCTGATCTATATTGTTTATGAGAAGTAAGCTGTTAATATTGTTGGGGTCCCATTGTATGTGATGAGGTACTTTTCTCCTGCAGATTTCATGATTTTCTCTTTGTCTTTGTCTTTGAACATTTTTACTAAATAGTCATGTGTTGCTTAATGATGGGGGTACATTCTGAGAAATGCATCGTTAGGCAATTTTGTTGTGCGAACATCATAGAGTGCACTTACACAAACCTAGATGGTATAGCCTACTACACACCTAGGCTATATGGCGTAGCCTATTGCTCCTAGGCTACAAAGCTGAATGGCATGTTACTGAACTGAATACTGTAGGCAACTGTAACACAATGGTAAGTATTTGTGTATCTAAACATAGAAAAGGTACAGTAAAAATATGGTATAAAAGATAAAAAAATGGTACACCTATAAAGAGTGCTTACCATGAATGGAGCTTGCAGGACTGGAAGTTCTGGGTGAGTCAGTGAGTGAGTGGTGAGTGAATGTGAAGACCTAGGACATTACTGTATGCTACTGTAGACTTCATAAACACTGTACACTTAGGTTACACTAAATTTATAAAAAATATTTTTCTTTCTTCAATAATGAATTAACCTTAGCTTACTGTGACATTTTTACTTTATAAACTTTAATTTTTTATTTTTTGACTCTTTTGTAATAACTTAGCTTAAAACACAAACACATTGTACAGCTGTACAAAAACACATTATTTCTTTATATCCTTGTTCCATAAGTTTTTTTTATTTTTAAATTTTTTTTACTTTTTAAACTTTTTTGTTAAAAGCTAGGACACAAACACACACCTTAGTCTAGACCTACACAGGGTCAGGATCATCAATATCACTGTCTTCTACCTCCACATCTCATCCCACTGGAAGGTCTTCAGGGAAAATGACACACATGGAGCTGTCATCTCCTATGATAACAATGTCTTCTTCTTCTGGAATACCTCCTGAAGGACCTGCCTGAGGCTGTTCTTGAGGAGGTGTCACTCTCTTCAGAAATATGTCCATGTCCATCTTATCAAACATAAGATAAAATGATGCAATCAATTCTCTTTGGTTTTGCTTGGTTTGTTTCTTTTTTTCATCATAGATTTGCTCGTAAGCAGATAATGCACCATGAACATCCCTCTCTATTAAAGAAAATCTTTTGGTGTAAGGGTCCATGTTTGCAAACTTTTTGAGGAGTTTCCTGAAGTTTACAACAGCTTCTGCTAAACCCTTCACTGTGAATTTTCTTGGGGGTTCTTCTTCTCCTCCTCCTGTAGTTTCCTTTTCTCTTGCTTCCTGTTCAGCTATGCATTCCTCTTCCAAGTCCACCAAGTTCCCAGTAGTCAATTCTTCAAGAAACACCACTAGGAGCTCCTCAATGTCATCCTCATTCAAACCCAGGTTCAAGTTGTTCGCCATCTCAACCACAGTCTTGTTGATTTTTGCAACCTATTCATTCTTGGCAAATCCTTTGAAGTCATGGATGAACCTCTAGAATGTGTTCTTCCAGATGCCATTCATACACTCCTTGGTGACATGACCCCAAGCCCAAGTAAGATTCTTGATGCAGTTATAGATGTTGTAATCCTTCCAGAACTGCATCAGTGTCTTTCTCAGTTGCCGCAATAGCCTGGGCAAAGGTCCTCCTCAGGTAGTAGGCCTTAAAAGCTGCTAAAACTCCTTGATCCATTGGTTGGATCAAAAAAGTGCTGTTTGCAGGGAGAAACACTGCTTTCACATTGGGATGAAGATCATCAATAAAAGGAGGATGTCCGGGAGCATTATCAACAAGAAGCAAAATCTTGAAAGGTATGTTATTCTCTAAACAGTAGTTCTCCATTTTGCCTGCATAGCAATTCAGGAGGGCATCTTGGAAGAGGAGCTGGGTCATTCATGACTTCTTACTGCTCCTGTAGTACACTGGCAGTGTGTGCTTACTGATATGCTTGAAGGCCCCGGGTTCTCACTGTGCCAGATCACAAACAGTTTCAATTCATAGCCTGTAACATTGCCCCCAAGCAAGACTGTCATCCTGTCCTTAAACGCCTTGAAATCTGGCATTACTTGGCCTTCTTCTGGATGAAAGTCCTTTCAGGCATCCGTTTTCAGAATAGGGAGTTTTCATCCATATTGAATATTTGCTCTGGCAAATAATTTTCCTCCACAATCAGCTTATCTGGAGTTTCCAAAAATTCTTCAGCTGCCTTCACATCAGCACTTGCAGACCACCACTTACTCTCCCATTATGTAATGAATAACGATTCCTGAATTGTTTAAACCACCAGAGCTAGCAGTAAATTTCACATTTTAGTTGAGTCAAGTCTTTTCTTTCAACATCACAACCTTTTTGCTTTGGCTGTGATCGTCATGGTGCTGAGAGGGATATGCTTCTGTGTCTGGTCTTCAATCCAGGTCATTAAAAGTTCCTCCAAGGAACTGATATAGGCCTTTCTCAAAACTTTGTTAGTCTCATTGCCTTCAATGAAGCAGATCCTTCAACAGCTTCTGTCACTTTGTTCTTGTTCTTCACAGTTGTAGCTATGGTGGAATGGAACATGCCTGACTGGTGAGCAATAACCATCACTGATTTTCCAACTTCATAGACCTTAATCACTTTAATTTTGTTTCCATGTCAATCATGCGATGTGGCCTCTTACTGGAAACATCAGCAGTGGATTTTGTATGCTTAGGAGCCACGATGAACAAAACAACACAAGGTTAAATCAAACATAAGATAAAATGATGCAATCAAGAGATGCAGTAAACATAAGATGTATGAGGTTGCTGCAGGTGTAACAGGGCATACTGTTTTATGGTAAACCTTTTTTTTTTTAATAAATAGAAAGAGTATACTCTAAAATAACGATAAAAGGTATACTATAGCAAATATATAAACCAGTAACAGTTGTTTATTATCAAGTATTATGTACTGTATATAACTGTACGTGCTATGCTTTGATATGACTGGCAGCACAGTACGTTTACACCAGCATCACAGCAAATGTGTAAGTAATGCATTGTGCCATGATGTTACAATGGCTATGATGTCACTAGGTGATAGGGGTTTTTCAGCTCCATTATAATCTTATGCGACTACCATCATATACGTGGTCCATTGTTGACCAAAACTTCATTACGCTGTCCATTACTAGAATGCATCTCAATGGGGCTTTCTATGTGTTTATCCTACTTGGAACTTGTTGAGCTGCTTAGATGTATAGATTAATAATTTTCATCAAAGTTGGGAAGTTTTCAGTCATTATTTCTTTGAATATTTTTTCTGCTTCTTTTTTTCTTTCCTTTCTTTCTGGCAGTCCCATTATGTGTATATTGGCTCACTTAATGGTGCCTCATATTTCTCTGAAGCTCTGTTAATTTGTCTTCATTCCTTCTTCTCTTTGTTCTACAGACTGCATAATCCTTAGCAATCTGTCTTCGAGTTCACTGACACATTCTTCTGTCAGTTCAAAGCCACTACTGAGCCCCCTTCCTGAATATTTTATCTGCCATTGTACCTTTCAACTCCAGAAATTGTATTTCTATTTTTTATAATTTCTGTCTCCTTATTGATATCTCCATTTTGTGAGACACTGTAATCATATCTTCCCTTTGTTCTTTAAACATTGTTTCTTTTAGTTCTTTGAACATATTAAAAAAGCTACTTTGAAGTTTTTGTGCTAAGTCCAACATCTGGGCCTCCTCAAAGGCAGTTTGTGTTGTATGCTTCACTCCCCCCCACCTTTTTATGGATCACAAATAACTGTTTCTTTGCATGTCTGGTATTTAGTTGTTGTTGAAAATGGAAATTCTACATAATATGCTGTAGCAACTCTAGATAATAATTCTTTCCCCTTCCTGGGGCTTGTTGTCATTGTTTGCTTATTTCGTTGTTTATTTAGTGACTTGGCTGGACTAGTTCAATAAAGTCTCTTTCCCTTGCAGTGTGTAGCCTCAGATATTGCTCCTCAGAGGGCACAGACTTGAGCGCGCAGTCTCCTCAATCACCAGGGATGACTGTGGTTTTAGTAAGATTCTCTTTGGCTGTAACTTTTCCTGATCTCTCTGTTAAGTTTCTGGCTGGTCTGACTCTATTGGTATAACACACAGCTGTCAGCTTCCACTAATTGTTGGCTGATTGCTCTATCGATTTTAACAATACTCTTGGGCATAAATTGCTTCACAGATCAATGTAAGTAATGTTGGGCTCTTCTGCAGAGTCAAGTTATTATCAGCCCTTAAGTTTTCCTCTGACACCAGGAGGACTCTTCTTAGTCATCTCTTTCCTTTGTTTCCTCTGTTAAACTTTTAGCTGAAGCACTGTCTTGCTTGTTGTTGTTAGCATCACGGAGCTTCTGGCTTCCTCTTAACTGCTCACCACCAGGATCTCCATTGTTTTTTACAATACCTTTAGGTATGAACTTCTACATGCTCTGTTCCAAACAGTCAGTCTCCATAGGGAGAGCTGCAGAGTTCTCTGTTATTAAGGCCTGCCTCTCCTTCTGGACTGAACTTTTCCACCACTGTCCTGGAGCTGGGGTTGGGAACAGCGAGCGATCAGCTTCTCCTGGAGAGACTCTCCTGGATCTAAGAGTGGTGAGCTGGGCAGGGATGGCAGCCTCTTGTCTTCTAGACTTGTCCCTTCTGGTGTGGAGCTTTACTTCCTATGAGCAAGCTAGAGTAGGGCAATCAGGGCCCAATATTCTCAGTCTGCCATGTCTAGGGTAGAGCTTCTCTTCTCTATGAATGGAAGATGAGTGGAAACTCCAGTACTTTCAGTTGTGCCTGCCTAGAATAGAGCTTCTGCAACATGGAGCTGGACATGAGAAATGCTGACCTCCTGTCTCTCCGGGAGTGAAACTGCTGCTCTAGACCGGGAACTGGAGAAGCAGGTATCCAGCGTTCTTGGCCACATTTGCCCACAGTAAAGCTTCTATCATATTGAGCTAGGATGAGAAGGGAAGAGGGGAGCAAGTCATGGCTCAAATGCAGTAGATTCTGACTGTTCTTAATGCGATTTAGTTGATTTGCTTGATTATATGTTTCTACATTTGCTGTACACCCTTAGGACAATTTCCAGAGACTTTACATTATCATTTTTAAAAATTTTCACAAGTTACATGTGTTTCACTGGGGAAAGAGCCTACACACTCCTCACATGGCCATTCTACAAGTCCCACCTCAGTATTAGATGTATTTTACCTGAGTATTTTATCTTATAAATTTGATGAAATATTTTAAAACTTTATATATGACACAAAATTAGAAAATTTAAATGAGGATAGAGGAGAAATTTGAAATAAATAAGGAGGAGAGGGCATTCAACTGACTGATGGTTTTAGTATAATTCAACACTAGTCTCACCACTCCGAGCTTCTTGGTGTTCAAAGCATGGTATTAACAGCTATCGTTATTCAGTGACAGGAAGGTATCAGGTGCTTTTCATACATTATGTTGAACTCTCATAAAAACTCCACATGGTAAGTGATATAATTTCTGACTGATAAATGAGAAAATTGACTCTCAAGGTCACACAGAGAGAAAGCAGAGAACTGAGATTGACTGGAATTCAGATCTGTCTTGCTCCAAGTTTATATTCTTTACGCATTCCATAAAAGGAGGGATTTAAATTTATCTGGAGAACTATTTTCCAGGAATTAAATTCTATGAGAATTGCAGGAATATTAAATAGGCAACACTGAGTAAAACATTTGATCAGAAATTTTTTTTGCACGGTTATTAGACTTGCTGATTTGTTGAAGGGAAATGCAAATAACTCTTTCTCTTTCAAAGTTTGTTAACTCTTCATTTGGTTTTGAATAGTTTCCTGGAATTGTCCTTAATCCGGTAGAGTTTGTTTAGTTATTTTATTTATCAATGCATGTATTAGCAATGAATGCCACTATACAATGACTGTATCAATAAAAAATAAATGAGTTATTTCTAAAAATACAACATATTTACTTTGATTCAGTAAGTATCGTTTAGTAATTATCTATTTTCAGCTTAGCATTGTTTAATTTTGCAACATTAATATTTTTTCTAAATATCCTAAAATGAGGAATTGAGTTGGAAAATGAGAAAATGAAAATTTTCTACTCTGTTAGGCTTTTTGTTAGAATAGCACAAAATAACACATCAAAATGAGGTGACTTTACATCAGAAAACATATCAGATACTTTCAATAATAAATTAATAAAAACTCATTCATGTCCATTTCAAAGATATTTTATAATAGTTCTGGTTTCCTACATCCATGACAGAAAAATTACACTTGCTAAAATCAATTGTGTTTTGAATCAACAAAGTTTTCTTAGTTTTATGATATTCTGATGTAAAGCAGGACATATTACCAAAAGAAAGAACTGAAATTCCAGATTACTATGAAGTCACACAAATAGAAAACCACAAGATTTAACTTCCCAACAAAATAAATATTTGGATAATTTCTAAACTACATAATTTAATGGAAGTATATATATTTTACTGTGATGTGAATATCTATATTAACATTGCATAAACGTGTCATCCAGCATACATGCATCATACCGCTTTTAGTTTAGTATTTTGTTTAGATTACCTTCCAGAAGATCATCCTCGTCTATGCCTTTGATAATCTTTGATTTGTAGTCTCGGAAAAACATGTATTTTAGCAGTCTTCTAAGTTTTTTCTATTAAAAATATGAAATAAGTAAATAAAACTTCATACATATATTCACTTTACTAATTAAAGACTACAACAATAACTAAATTTAATACACATGTACCCCAGGATCATTGGGGAAAAAATAGCAATTCTCAGCATAATACTATGAAATAAAAATGTAGTTATCAAATTAAACATAAAAGATAAAACACAAGCATTTTTAAAAGCACTTTTCCTTTGCAAGTACCAAGCTGCTCCAGAATCACAACTTTTCTTATCTTATAAAGTTTTAAATTTTTTCTGAAGATTGTGATAAATATCACGTTTTCCACACTAAGCTGACTATACTGACTTTATAGAATTTTGTACACATTCAAGACCAAATTTTATTTTATTTTATTTATTTATTTTTTTGTGAGGAAGATCAGCCCTGAGCTAACATCCAATACCAATACTCTTTTTTGCTGAGGAATATTGGCCTTGAGCTAACATCCATGCTCATCTTCCTCTACTTTATATGGGACGCTGCCACAGCATGGCTTGACAGGTGGTGCGTTGGTGCACACCCAGGATCTGAACCTGTAAATCCCTGGGACCCCGAAGCAGAGCACGCGCACTTAATCGCTATGCCACCAGGCCAGCCCCCAAATTTTATTTTTTAAAATGATTTATAAACATCTAGACGAGGAGTGCGTAACAACTGCTCTAAAAAGCCAAGCACTCTCCTTTTTATTGTTTTGTAGTCTCTGAAAATCTTTTATTTAGACAAGTTGGTTTATGTTTTATATTTCTAGAAAACATTCTATAATCTGAAAAATATTTTTTTATGAAACTCAAAGCTGACGAATGATAGTTGGGTCTTGATGGCTTTCTTTAGGTTTATTAGAAGACCATAATACTGCGTAACTTTAAAAGTAACTGATAATACTTTTTAATTTGTTGTGTGCTTACACTTAGAATGTATTATTACTGGTTCTTGGCCTTCAGGTTTAAGATTCCTAATAATAGCTGAAATATATTGCATTTTACAAAGTTCTTTTACAGACATATTGATATTTGCAATAGCCCTGAGATGTAGACAAATATAATCATCTCCTTTTTATATGTAGGGAAACTGAGGTTAAAAAGTCTTACCACTAGAGTTTAGTAGGGCCAGAGGTAGAACATATAACCTTTGAATCTCAGTTTCTTTATTTACAAAGTAAGGAAAGTACCAACCTTACAGGACTGTTGTGAGGAATAAATGAAAGAATGCATGAAGTTGCCTGGTGCAATACGTAAAACATAGTAGGCGGTCAATAAATACTGTTTGAATATAAACTGGAATTAATAAGAGAAAAAACATATACCTGTATACGAGTCGTTTGCTACCCTTCTGTTCTCTTTGCTCTGATTCCATTCAGTACTTTAAATTTTACTTCGTCTCATATTATACCTATGTAAACTACTTTAAATTCTGTTTGGAACATGTCAGCATGTAAACAAAATTATCATCTTGAGGAGAAAGATGAGAACACTGGCAACTATTGATACTACAGCTATGTTCTCGATTGATAAAAAAGATTCTGATTAAGAGTCCTTCTGGACAGAAGGGCATTGTCAATTAGTGTATGTTCCCGAAGTTTCAATATGATTTTAAATTTTGACTTGTCCAAAAGGCAGGAAAGAGTGTCAGTGTGGACTATTTTTATGCTAGCCTCTTTACCTCTGTCAGTGAAAAGGAAAAACTGACTGGACAGATTCTGTGAAGTGCTAACGCTAACTCTATTGTTCTCCAGCTGCCTTCAGAGACAATCTTGGCTCAAGGTCCTCATTTCCACCAACAGCACCTTCAGGCTCCTTCCTCACGGTGCCACTGCAGTAGAGCGCCTGTTTCTCCTTAGGCCTCCGAGTATAATCAAATCACCAAATCTCGCATATTTTACTCTTCACTATCTTTCTGAATTCTTCCTTCTCCACTTCCAGAGCCACCGTAGTAATCATATTTTGCCTTGACTACTGAACGAGCATCCTGCTTAGTTCCCTTGCATTTGGTCCATTCTACCTATGACTGCATGATTCTCACCCTAGGCAGAACATGCAGCCTTCAACAACTCATACAGTCTCTCCATCAAATTACACAACCTTAAAATTCTTTGAGTCTTAAAATGCTTCTTTAACTAATTAATCTTACAGATTTCCTAAACCAGATTATAGCTTCTTGATAGTGAAGACATTTCTTTTCTCTTTCTTTACATTCCTTATACCATCTAAGAGTTAATGAACTAAAAATTTATATAATTTAATGGTAGACTGGTCAAAGTGCAGTTTGTAGAACCCTGAATCTCACCGCATAAGGCAGAGAAAATACTTGATCCAAGTTTAGTCAACCTTCAGTCAATCAGAATGCAAGGGTTTACAAATATAAAGTAACTGGATAGTAGAAAGGATGTTAAAAGGTTACTCAAAAGGTCAGATGGGATGCCTTCTGATAAACTCAGAGCTGCAAGCATACAGCACTGGGGGAAGAGCAGTGGGTGAGTGCATGAACAGGCCAGGAACAAGCAACGGGGAGACGGGGAAGGAACATCAGGAACCGAGCACTGCTTGCTCACTCGGGAGGGCATCTGCCATAACACACTGTGTTACGGATATTCAGTTAGTTCTTTACATGTAACTTGCAGATGAAGCTTTTATTAAAAACATGTAAATATTATAAAATATTTTCAACTTGCTACTCATAAAAGATAGTTATGACAAAATTAGACTTTTAAATAGCAGCTTAAATATTTTAATACCTGAGTTCGAAGAGTAAGAAAGGAGATCTTTATTAAAAAATCTAGACATTATGGTATATATATTTATACTCTTTGAATATTCATCCTGATTGCTTTGCTTTTTCCTATAAACCAGTGTCACAGAATAAACCTCGTATTTCAAGTTAAAAAATTACTCTATGAAAGCCTGTAATCCTGCATAAAATTAGGAAAAAAAAATACGCCATTCAGTTATATCCCACTTATCAGAATAATGCACACAGTCGATACACAGTGAATATTATGCAGCAATGAAAATGTCTAAATAGGTATGTAAGGATAACTGAGAATTAGTTGTTAGCATAGTTTTACATAAGTGCTCTTGCCCATGTGAAAATAAATATCGATTCTCCTGTAGGAAACTATTTTGTTGTGCAAACTACAAAGACTAAAACATTAGTTCAATAGTTATAATTCCAATTTGAAAGCTATGTAACAAGGATGCGTAATTTCCTTACATAAGTGTAATTAAGCATCAAACATGGCATTTTAATACAATGAAATTTTTTTATATTACCTTATCTTTGCGCATCAAAAACAGAAGATCTTCATCAGAGATTACCCTTGCTCCCCGAAGCCGAGCAACTTCAGCAGCTTGCTGTAACTAACACCAAAAAAATTTAGGAATTTTTTTCAATAATCTAAATTAAATATACTACAGTCATGATGTTTCAAGAGAGATAGATATACTAAGAGTTAAAAGCCTTTGGGAATAATCCAGCAATCACATTACTGCTTTTAAAAGCAATATGTCTTATGTTTTAAAGCATAAAAAAGTGCAATTAAATTAACTTATAAGCCCACCTGTAACTGATACAATAAACAGAAATCCTTGATTTCTTTCATGCAAAAGAAAAATCACGTGCAGCTTCCAGAAATGCATTAATGCACCTGAAAATAATTTTATGAAATTTTATCCTCATATCCATGTGAGCAATGGTTTCACTCAGTATCACTAGTTGAATAAGCATATTATTAATCTGAGCTCCCATGCTGGTATGATTTGAAATAGGCCCATTCAGAACTTTAAAAGATCAACAAAAACAGTAGCTGTTTCTAATATCCAAAGGAAAAAAAATAGTTTTAGTTTTGGCAAGTCTTTAGTGGGCAAAGGATTCAGTCCATAAATCATAATACTGGACTACATTAATTTCTTTCCACACTAATCACATGCACACAAAAAGTTAACTGTATCTGGAATGCAGAACACAAAACATACTGCATGAAAAGTTAGATTCCCCCTGAAATGTTCATCTGGGCCCTTATATCTACAAAGTTGAGAGTTTTCTGGAATTCAGAAGTCCTAGAAACACAATCTTACTTGAAAATGACCTGGAAAATAAAAGAATGTGAAAAACGATAGTTCTATTTTTTGGCACAGGCAAAATCAGTCTCTTATTTTGATTAGTTGGAAGGAACATAAAATACATCCAGCTGAAAAAAATAAAGATGCTGGAGAAAACACTACAAAAATGTGCCTGTAACTTCTTCCAAATTTGATCAACCCATGGTGATTGCACCAAACCAACTTTATTCAATATTATAAAAATATTTACATATAAAAGCAGTTCCTGAATGCATCGTTCTTTGAAAGGAATAAATCTAATACATAGTCCTGAAAATTAATCTTTAAAAAGTGACACACTGTTATCTCAACAATTATAAGAAATCAAATAGTGCATTTGTACTAAAGAAATTCTGCTTGAATGTTTAAGCGATTTTGCTAAGTAAGCTTCAAACCTTGTCTAAATACACAGACTACAAAATAGACTATAAACTCCCTATGTGTCAGCCTTACCACTGGATTTCCTGGATACTGGTGGTTTGTATATAAACATAATTCTACCTAAATATAGAAATTTAAATTTAACTGTGAACCATTTAAAAAGAAATCTTGGGGGAAAGGTTTTTAAAAAGATGATGTATCTACCCAGAAAGAAACTAACAGTTTTCAGCAGGAAAAATTTGAACATATTTTTCTAAAAAATGGAAGACTGTCAGGGAAATATGTGTACACGTGTTTTTTCAAATAAAAACATTTCTGTCATAGTCTAAAGTACATGCAATCAGCGTGGGGAACAATATGGTCTCCATATCCATTTATCTGGACACATACAGAGAAACAGGAGGCAACAATGTCAGATAACTTTGTATTTTCTTAAATGAAGGATGGTGACGATTTGAAATTATAAAGTACTATACAGATATAAGTAATTTTACTCATGTTAAGAAAGGATCAGGATAAATAAATGCCCCTAAATAGTTTCCCAATTAACCAATTGTTTATCCACACTACATAGAAATAATCTGTATTTATAACACTCTCCAGAATGTCAGTTTACAAACAGATTAACTTGGAAAAGAAAGAAAATGGAAAATAAAGACGGAAGAGTTATGTATTTTAAAACACTGCTTCAAAACCTGTACATACCTATTGTAGGGATCTGGAATTTATGTCATGGTTATGTTGTCACAATTAGCAGGAAAATTTTATCTTTCGTTTTCATCTACCCGATTTACTAATCTCCCTCACCTAACCTACTACTCCTACTAGCACTAGCACCGCTAGCACTCTCTAGTATGCCTTGGACTCCCATGACGTGAATCCTTGGGACTGAAAGTTATCAATGTTTTACCTCATCAAGCCGATCTGGCCCTGATGTGTCCCATGCTCCAAAACTGCCTCTCCCAAACTCTGACCTCGTCTTCTCTACCAAGTGAGGAGAGCAACCCTAACAGCTAATTACAGTGATCGCACTAGTGTGCATTACCTATTGGCTTGCTTCTAGAAATTTTGCCTATGCCTACCAGAAAGAGTAAAGAAAAAGTAAAGAAATTCCTCTTTAACAGCACAAGCTTAATAAACAGGTTAGCAGCTTGGCAGTCCAGTTCCACAGGATGCTGAGCTCAGGATTGGTAAATCACAAAATATTCCTAATACCTTAAGAAATTCCTCAATTTCTTAATCCTTGAAAATAAATGGAAGTTCTACTTCATTATTCACTGCAGCAAGGCAAATATTTCTGGCAGTAATTAAAATAATATGAAATAACAGTACATTTTACAATCTTCTTCATTACAATGAAAGTAGTATACATGTAATTGCATTATAAAATATGCAAGAAATGGCAGAGCAGAGGAATATTTTAAGACCAATCACTAGTTGAACGAGTATACAAAGGTAATTTTCTTAACTATATGGACAAAAGTATGGTAATAGTAACCTTATGGAGACTTGTTTGCAACTTAGAAAAATATTTTGCTAAAAGACATCATTATTCTACCACAATAGCAACTCATTTACAGCATTTGTTCTTTCTGATATTATTTCTATTCTTCAAAGTAAACGAAAACTAATATTAAACTTGTAACAATTCTTTAAAGGACAAAATTTTCCCCTAGTATATTAAAATTCATGTTTGCATTTTAAATATTTTGGACATTGAGCATTAAAAGGTACACTTTAAACTTTATATGTCATCTTAAATGCCTCATCTTTGATCCAACAAATAAATTTTTTCTCAATTTCTTATTGCTATCAATGACACTAACATTCAAACTCAATTTTTTTTCTCACTCTATTGTATTTTCATCAACTTCTATTGATTTTGTTGTTTGTTTTAATCTCTCAGGGTCTGGAATTTGTTCTCTACTTCCACAATATTCATCCTAATCCAGGCCTTTGGGGATTTTTGTTTATTGGCTTTTAAATTTCAGTGCCTCCAAATTGTGATACATCCTAGATTTAAGTGCTAAAATGATCTTCCTCAAACATCATGTCCACAATTCTTGTGCCAGGATCCATGACAATTCATTATTATCTAACTTCAATGTGGTCTTTAAAGCCTGACTGACTCATAGATCATTCCCTCTACCTTCATTCTCATTATATTTCTTGTTTTTCTCTATTAGTCTACATTTAAGCTCCAATAATTTCAGTTCTATCTTTATTATGCCTTTGTGTACTTGTGACGGTTAATTAATCTTATGTGTCACCTTGATTGGGCTATGGGGTGCCCAGACATTTGGTCAAATATTATTCTGGGTGTGATTGTGAGGGTATTTCTGGATGAGATTAACATCTGAAATGGTACATGAGTAAAGTAGATGGCCCTTCCTAACATGCGTGGGCCTCAACCAGTCAGCTGAAGACCTGAAAAGAACAAAAAGGCTGACTGCCTTGAACTGGGACAGTCGTCTTTTCCAGTCTTCTCACTTGGACTGAACCACCTCTTGGTTCTCACATCTTTGGACTTGGACTGGAACTATACTTTGCCTCTCCTCTGTATAACCTTTAAAACATCAAACAGGGGCCGGCCCCGCGGCATAGTGGTTAAGTTCAGTGCATTCCACATTGGCAGCCCAGGTTCGTGGGTTCAGATCCCAGGCGCAGACCTGCACCACTAGTCAGCCACACTGTAGCGGCGAACCACATATAAAGTAAAGGAAGACGGACACAGATGTTACCTCAGGGCTAATCTTCCTCAGCAAAATAATAAATAAATTAACTAATTAAATTAAATTAAATAAAAAACAACAAAAAAACAATCCATCAAATAACTTTTCTAGATTTGTAGGTATATGTTTCTTTTCCATTAGAAATGAGTAACCAATAATTTTAATGACTAGTAGGAGAGTAAATAATCTTAGCAGTAATAATAGCTACCACTTATTGAGTACCTAATTTGTACCAGGCACTGTGCTATGTGTGTTACAAATATTTAATTCTAATTTAATTCCAATATTTAATTCTAATTCTAATGTTATAATGGATATAACATTAAAAGTCAAATAACACTATAATTTTTATAGTGATAGACAGGAATATCTTGCCATACTTCTTTTGAATCTGTACTTCTGCTTCCAGGGCAACTACTTTCAAATTTTTTAGGTTGTCCTTCTCTTAGCTTTACCTCCATATTTGAAACATGCTTATAATGCTTGTTTTATTTTTCAGCTTTAAATACTATCAATTGATTTCTTACTGTGGAAGATGAACATTTAGTGTTCTCAGATGCCTATATTTAGCCATCTCCTTCCTCCTCTCTTGATTTTATTTATAAAATATAATTTTTTGTTAAATTAATTTCCAGTGTTTATATTATTATGACTATGTAAATACTATTACAGCTTGGCCACTATGATAAAATTTTTTTTTATAATTAAAAAAAAATTTTTTCTTGTAGGTAATAATTTTCTTGCTTTGTTTTTTTGCTTAATTTTTTGTGACCCTAATACCATTTCATTTCAAACTCTTTGAAAGACTTGAAACATAAGAATTTCTTTCAATTTCATTGTTTTGGTTTTTGTTTTCCCTCTCCAGACATCTTACCTGGAGCCCTCCAGACTTTCTTCAACAATTCCATTTTGGATTCTTGTTTTCTTGATCCCCCTTCTTGCTCTTTCTTAATCTACTTCCTTATTTTGGTACAGCACATTCTCTGGAAGTTTCCTTTATCATTCTTGAGCACAGTTGTAATAGCTGCTTTAAAAATCTCTCTCTATTAATTTCAACATCTCAGTCATCTTGGAGTCAGTCTCCATTTTGTCTTTTCTCTTGGGTATGGGTCATGTTTTCCTGTTACTTTATATTTTAAAGAATCT